AAAAAAAAGTTATTTTTTAGAATTGCATTAAGAGCTTTAAGAAAAACCAGCTCAGCCATTGGCTGCGACAGATCTAGGCTGGGACTTCCCATCCCGGTGACCGTGACAAAGGAAAGTATCTCAGGGCTTGCTGCTGACTGATTAAACCAGGCCCATTGGCTAGGAGGCCTTGTCTGAATTGAGTTTATGCAAGCCCGTTTGTGGGCTCTGCAGACTTTAACAAGGGCACTGATCCAAAGGAACATGGAGAGAGGGAGTGGGGTCTACTGACCCCTAAAGACAGACCCCATTAGCAGAATACAGAGAGGGGGAGGGGGAGCTGCATGCAAAGTTCAGCCTATTTATGCCACTTGGCTTCATCCCAGCTTATAAAAGATATACTCCTCCTATTAGGTACATTACAGTGACACTGTGATTGGTAGAGGGGAGCAAAGTACTTGTCAGCGGAGTGAGTATTGGCTGTCACTCCTGTTATCAAGCTGCCTGCTTATTTGCGATTTTATTTTCAGATGTGATTGACAGCTGGATGGTTCTGACATTCTCAGCACAAACATACAGCCTGTTATTATGCTTGCATTAACATTTTGATAAACACACGGTACAGCACTGGAAAAGTAATTACATGTCATCACTTCAGTGCTTCATCAAAGAAAAGTTTACTGTGTAATTGCTCTGTGATTTACCTAGGTAGAATGTGTTACATTCCACAAAGGCTCTTTCTATTTAATAGTTTACATTTACTCTTTAAAATACACAATATCCCTTCCCAGGGGCTTCCTTGGTCTAAAATAAACTTGGCAATATAATTTAGCTTTCCATAAATATACTTAGATTTTACTGTGGAGTACTTTTGCATAATAGTTATTTAATGCTAAGTGTAAATATGCAGTGCATTATATTGGCTGAGCTATCAAAAAAAAAAACCACACACACAACTTTCTGACAACAAGGAAAAATAGGATATTGTTCCTTTGGTTTCCACATTAAGAAAAGGGCCTTTTGCTCTTATATTTATATCCATGCTTTTCACAATGACATCTAATTTTACAATAAAGTGACTTGAGCTGAAATGCCTTGCAGTAGAATCTAAAATATTGGTTCTTGTTAGCGTTTAAAGAGCTCTTCTGATGTGGCAGTGAAAGAGGTATTTTGGAGGAAAGCACAAATGATTGCAGGGTACTTCGGAACCAGAGACGAAGGGATGATTTGACTGATGTTCTCTCAGTGGGATCCTTCTGAACAGCTGTATATCTAAGAAGCAAAAGGTGGGGGTGAGTGGGTCAAAGAAAACAGCTGTCGAAGAGCCCCCAGCAGAATCTTCAACTCGAAATTGCTTTTGTGGTTGATATTAGGAAGGTACTTTTAGATGCCAGGATCTTTGTAATTATTGATGAGCAAACCCTTACAGTCACAGTCAAGGTCAAATAGGCAAAGGCTTTCCAGGATACTTAAGAATAATTTGAACATCTGTATCAGCTAATCCATTCAGCCAAGAGAGGATAGGCACAGAGAAAGAATAGAGAGGAGTAGAGTGGCCAAATTGCTTTCACCATACCTCATGCCTTTAGCTTTTCTGTCTCGAGGGATTTCCATAGGCACAAGACTTCCCAGTCAATACTATGACTTCCTTCTTGAATAACTGAGATGGCAGAGGGTTGGGGGAGGGGATGGTCTATTCTGAAATGGGAGCACACAGCAGACTAACCACTCAGAGAGGGGCATGATGTTGTATGTCTCTGGAGATAGAAGATTCTCAGTCATGAGATCAGTTAAGGTCCTTGAGATGTCCTTTGCCATTCCTCTAAGTGGTTTCTTGGCCAAAGGACGATTCTCTCTGAAGACCCACTCAGAAATGTGCAAAGGTTAAATGACTGAACCCCAAATATAAAGCCTAGCTCTGCGCTCTTTTGGGAGGCCTCATGGCTGCATGGAAAGTGGCTCGGAGGTGAGAGAATTGAGAGAAATGGAAGAGATTGCAGCCTGGACTTGAAAATCAAGGTGAGAAACTCACTGTGAGACCAAAATAAAGAGGAGTGGTAAGAGGCTCAGAGAGAAGAAAGGACCATAGCCTTGATCAGAAGGACCTATAGTTATCCTAATAGCATTGCATCAAATCAGCTGGGCCCTAGGAGCAACTGCAACCTCATCAGCTGCTTCTCCAGTACAGCTGGCAGCCACAAAAAAGAAACAGTTGAAACATGCATTTCCAGATGTGTGTGACGGTTCAATAATTTCACGTTAGTGTATATTAATCCTTTCTGGAAATTGGCATTAACTCAGCTTTAGCACTAGTCTAAATAAACACATCAGCTTCAAGAGCAGGAGCTTCTTTGCATAACAGCTGCATATGGCATCTGCATCCTGGTTATAGGTTCTCTGTACATTACCTCTGCGATAAGCTCCAGTTGCCTTCTTTACATTTAGCTGGACTCAGACTATTTCCTCCTTTTGCTGTCAGTATGGGAAGAAAGATGCCATTGTAATTGCCAGTTGGCCTGCAGAGTAATGCCCTGTAATTGACAAAGATTGCTTAGCTGCAAGGAAGAAAGATACACTGATTAGGAGAGAGATCGTCTTTAATATTGCATTTAACCTGCACTCTTTTTTCCCCTTTCCTTTTCACCTGAGCCCTGTAAGGGATGTCTCACATTCTTTGCCATGACATTTCTCTTTGAAGAAGGAAAAAGAAGTGCAGCAAGGTCCACAAGGGGACACTTGGTTTCTAGGAGTAATTTCACTGAGTTGGGAGGCTTAAAAGCTTTAATATGGATATATGCTGAACTATCCAAAAACAGAATGTGTTTCCCATCACATTCAATGTACCCTTCGACCTGCCAATCCCAGAGGTGGCCAAAGCTTACACGCTTTTTCATCTGTGCCTCAAATTACTAGGTCAAATCTTTAGATCTTCATTGTTCTTGATTTTTTTTCTTTCTTTTTTTTTTTTTTTTTTTTGCTTTTGCTCCCAAATTCAGGGTTGTGTTGCATTTTTTTTCCCTTGAGAATCACATTGACTTTTTGTAGAGAGCTTTAAAAAAATTGCACTGTTAGAAAAAATGTATATATGGGTTAAAATGCATTTTTCATGTCCTTTCATACTCTATCGATTTTTTTTCTCTCATTTTTCTTACAAAAGAAAGTTTTAGTGCAGTTCTGAAAAAAAAAAACGTAGTCAGCAATTGCTCCCTCCCCCAGGAGTAAAAATACTGGACATCTTGCTTAGAAATGCAACTATATATGTGTATATCTAACGGGGGTGGGAGGTGGTGAGACCCCATTAGTCACCTGTAATACAACTGTTCTCAATACTCACTATTTTAATAGCTGCAGGGGACTTTTAACTCTCCACAGTTTTTAACTCTGCAGTAAAGTTTAAATGTTCTACAGGGAGTTTTTGATGTGCCTATGGGATTTTCAATCTGAAGACAGAATAATTGTGTGTAAAAGCTGACACTACCTGGAGAATAAGTATTTATCTATCTTCCATCAACATACTTACCTGCCTATTTCTCTGTGAATGAAAGGCCATATGGTAAAATGGAAAAGCACTGACTTAGAAGCCTGGAGTAACCAGGTTTTAATCCCACCTCTAAGACCTTGGACAAGTCACCTCCACATCTTTGATTCTAGGTCCCTTCATTGGTGAAATGAGAAGCTTGGACTATGTCTCTAGGGGAAAATCCAGCCTTAACATGCTACAACTGTTTTTGCACCTATTATAATAATATTTCGCTTTCCCATGCACAAAAACATGGATGATAGATTCAAGATCCTTCTGTTATTGGATACTACTCTATGTCACTTTCTCTGTTACATTGTTTCTGTCATGCCTGTGTTTTCATACACCATCCTGTGCCCAGAGATATTTTAGTTACAATTCAACTAAGTTCTCTTCCTGTTCAAAATTATACTTGCACATACACCAGTTATGCTAGCCAAATAAAGTTGATAAATCGGGATAATTTTTCAAATAAGCCAAGTCAAAAATGTTTTATCTACATCAATTGATCCTGGAATTATTTTAGCTCTAAATATAATTTACTTATTTTTGGAAGTAGACCTTGTCTCCATATAGGTGTGGATGGGAAGTTGAGAAGGGAAGTGAGTGGAGGAGGCAGATACTTTCCATTTCAGGATTGCAGTTTCTCGCTACAGACTGCTTGGGTTTCAGAGACCAAGGGATCTACTTCCTCTGCCCCTTTACTGACCAAACCCTGCCCAACCTGACTTGCATTTGACTTGAATGTATAGAAGCCACAATATTTGGAAAATGCATGTATATACAGAACCCACTTTTTCTATCGGAGCCCAGTTCCAGATGTAATGCAGCTCTTGGTGGGCTGACTGGCTGGGGAAGAGAACTCTTCTCACCAGTGGATTTGTGCCACTGGCTATCAGCTAAGAAGCATAACAGTGCTCCTTCCCAATCAATGATCTCTTAACAGAGCTGAACGTCTGCTTGGCTTCCTCTTTCCCATTTGGAACATCTGTCAGGTCTCCTTGTCGCCCGGCAAGGGGTCCCCAGCTCTGCCTTGGCCAAGCGCCACAACCGTCCTTTATTTTTATGCAAACCTGAGCAGCTCACACCTCTTCCTTATCTGTTGTTCCTTTTCCTGTGTACCCAGTAATATAACTCCATTTTGTGAGTTCAGTGATAGTCTGCCTTACAGGTTTCTGCAATCTACTGTAAGTGTTATCAATTGTGAAAATTTTGGCTCCATAAAGAAGACATTCTTTTTGTATTCATAAAAGCATACTTATGGCCGGGCACAGTAGCTAATGCCTGTAGTCCTAGCACTTTGGGAGGCCGGGGTGGGCAGATCTCTTGAGGTTAGGAGCCTGGCCAACATGGTGAAATCTCGTCTCTACTGAAAATACAAAAAATAGCGGGGTGTGGTGGTGGGCACCTGTAATCCCAGCTACTTGGGAGGCTGGGGCAGAATTGCTTGAACCTGGGAGGCGGAGGTTGCAGCAAGCCGAGGTCACCCCACTGCACTCCAGCCTGGGCAACGGAGTGAGACTCCAGCTTAAAAACACACAGACACACACATTTATGAGTGTGTACTGTCAGCCAAGCACTAGGATAGGTGCTTTGTGTGCAACAATGAGCAGAGATGACAGGGCATCCACACTTGCCAGCTTTGTGGCTTCTTTCTTCCTGGGTGTGCTGTAGGATGAAATTATCCACATGTGCACCAAGCATCCTTTTTTACCACATTGCTATCTCCCTCTCCACATTTTTCCTTCTCTAGTCAATGCCTTCAGGCTGAGAAACTGAGTCTAGAGATCCTTGCCTTCAGCAGATCTGTTTCTTCATGAACGGCACTTCTGCAGGTCAGCTGCAGCTAATCTTAGTCCATGAAGAGAACTTGCCAATGCTTATTCTTGAGAGAAAAGGCCTGAACTTCATTTCAGTTGTCCGTTGAGCTAGCAGTATTGGGGCCAGAAAGTTCTGAAGAGCTGATAGAAGACAAATGCCCTTTGAAGTCATTATTTCCAACACTAGGTCACCTCTGATACCCCTCCTATGCCCCTCCCATCAACAAAGTCAAGCAGTGCCGTGCTGTACTCCCTACCTCCAGGGAACCTGAGATTCCATTTCAGTTTCACCTCCAGCCTTTGCCTGTTTCTAGAATCTTGTGATATAGGGACAAGTTCTCTCATGGGATGCCATGTTTTCCCTCAAAGTATTCATTTCATTAATGATCACACTGTGTTATTATGTTTTCCCTGTACTATTCTATAGATCATTTTTATTATGTAGATACAAACTCTTTGAAATTGTAATTGTGAAGTACATACTATGAAGACAAATGCATCGGGCATAATGAGAATGGATTGCCAATAAAAGTTGAAAAACAATGAACCATTTTTAAAAGCAAACCCTTATCCAGAGCACTGTCACTTTGAATGCTTGGTATAAACGCCACTGGATGGAAGGAGCTTATTTTTAGTCTAATGTTGATAAAGATTTGACTTTGGTAGCATCTTAATTATCTGATAAAAGCCAGGCTCCTCTGCCTTGCTCACCTCTAATGTCTAATGCCTTCTGCTGGCATTAAAATTATTGCCACGACTCCAGAGAGAGAAACGAAAGATAGCAGCGTTGCATTTCCAAGATGTGAATTACAGTTTAAAGAGTCACTCGGTTTTGTTTAAACAAATTACAAAAATAATGGGTTGCCCTTAAAAGGTCTGTTTCATATATTGTTATCCTTCACTTGTGACACCCCTGACAGTGTCGTTCCCCACATTATGTCTCACTTTTGTCGCTAGGGGAAAAGAATGGTTTCAGGGGGTCTTCTCAGTGGTTTTTTTTTTTTTTCTCACTTTGTCCCTAGTTCTGAAGGACAAAGAAAGGACAAAGAGAAAATGAGCCAATGGCCTATGCTTTGGACACAAGGTCATACATGGAGGGTGTGCTGACGACTATATTGGTTGACTGGTTTGTTGGTTGGTTCGTAGTTGATTGGTTGATCGATTAATTGATTGACATACATTTGCCACCTCTAAAATCACACAAGGTTGAGGGAGTGGAATGGGGCCCAGAAATGGAGATGAGGAGTCCCCTACAGGACAGGGAGTGTTCTTAGACATAGGGGGGAAAAGGAAGGGGCAGACACAGACCTCTGCCAATTTAGGGGCAGTGAGACACAGGGAAGCCTGACATGGACTCGGTCCTTGGCTGTATGACCTTGCCCAGATCTCTTCACCCCTCTGGATCTCTATGTCTTAGTCAAAAGATGAGGAGGCTGGACGGGGCAGTGTCTGACGTTGCTTTGCCTTTGATGTTTCATGAGCCTCTGGAGGCTGGAAGCTGTGAAGCCACCATTCCATGCACAGACAACTGGGATGCTTAATTCTGAAAGCCACCCCTCTTGAAAGGAAAATGTGCCAGTTTAAGTATTTGAGGAAACATTCTGTAGGGTTGACCCAGTTCCCACATTAAGAAAATAATGCCTAGGCCCATATGGCTAATTCCTTCCCAAACTGTTTGTTTGCCATCATGCAGACCTATCCTGAAAATAAAGCGTCTAGTCGAGTTTCAGAATCCAAATGGAGCAGAATGCAAATGAGTGAGATAATGGTGAAAAGTACATTTACTTTGAAAATTCCTCCGGGTGCAGTCATCAGCAGCGCAGGCACCAGCAGTGTTGATTTTTAAACTACACTGTTTCATGATTTGAACTTCTAATTTTTATCCTGAATAAGAGGTGCCTTTTGTTGCAAGGCTTTCCCCACTCCATTCTTTAACTTTTTCACTTTGGCAAGCACCTACCCTTGTAAGCATGGTTGGAGAGCTGAAATATCAGAATTTTCTGCTGTGTCTCAAAGGAAAGGACTTTTGACCCCACTGTAAACCATGACCAAGGCTGGGGGAGTTTAGGAGGGTTTCTGAGACCAGGTAGCCAGTTAACTCAGAGTCCTTTCTATCTAATGCTAGTGGGGGATGAGAAAATGAGAAAAAAATGAAGGCTTGGCAAATGCTATCAGGCCAGAGGGTTTCATTTCAGTAATGGTTGAGGATAGGTGCCCTTGTATCACCTTAGTACCTCAGATCTGCACAGGAAGGGGAGATGCAAAGATGTGGACATTATTGGGTTTGTCTTGATGGTGCAAACCATCAGGCGAGAGAGATAGAATTCTTAGAAAAAAATTATTTTCACAGGGAAGTTAGAAGTGGAATATGTGGTCTTGCTGATTGCATTAACCTTATAATTCCATACTTTGGTGTTCTTGTACACTAGGTAGACAGTTACTGCTTCTTTGCCTGAAAAAGCATTTTTGTCCAAGCATCCAGTCAGCCAGGTGAAGGATACTATTGCTCAGTGTTTGAATGAGGCTGGACAGATGCCTGGACTCCTGGTCACCTGGAGGAGGCTCATCTTTGTGGACATGGAGGTGTTCTGGACACCTGTGTGCAGAGTGTTGACTCACCCACTCCTCTCCTTAGCTTTAAATACATTGAAAAATAATTTTTCATGAGCTGGTAATTATATGAAAATTGCTTTTGCTTTAAACAAGAATTATGCTTGACTCTTTTGAGCAAAGAGAAAAATGCACAAAGGGAATCATTAATTTTGAATAAAAACACATACTTTCCTGCAGCCAACAAGGGAGGGAAATGTGAAATTGGTGTTTTCTACAAACAGCCCAGCATTGCTCCCCAATCTGTTTGCTTGATCTATTATCCAGTCACCTGCAAAGTTGAATGTCTTGTTTGGCCTGAATCTGACTTTTATTCTTTTCCTACTACCTATTTTTTAAGGACTGTGTTATATGCATACCTCAACCTTCATTTGCATCACATTAAAGTAAAACATTTTAAATTTCTTCACAGCAGAAGTAAATCTGACAGACTTTATGAAGCTATTATACCTGCAGGTATTTTATACTTTTAAAATACATTCTTGTCAAGCTATCTTAATTATATTATTATATGTACTTTTGAACTTGTATTCGCTATTCCATGATATATTACACTTTTGACAAAGCCGTCCTAAAAAGCTACAATTTATATCAAAGTTATTTGGCTGAACAAAGATGTATCTGTTATGGACGCTGGGAGAATTTGTTAATTTCCATGCCAGAATGTGTAACCATTGAGGGAGCAGGCCGCTTTAATTTTCTGTCCAAGTGACGATGGGAGGAGGACTTGACCTCCAGGCTGCACATAAAGTAGCACAGCTGGTGAACAGTGGCCATCACTTAGATGCCCGGGAGGCCTGCTCCCAGAGCTGGGTTACCTTTCAAGCCCCAGTTGTCGTGAGTATTATTCAACACACTAAGGAAATGGAGAGCTGATCAGTATCTAATTTACTGTCTCATTCATATTCAGCACCATTCTGGCAGCACAGAGCAGGAAAGTACCCACACTGACAAAGATGAAAACAAGACCAGGGTGGGTGGGATAGAAGGGAAACAGAGAAAGAAAAGCTAGACACTCTGGAGCATTTTTTCAAAGATAACAAGGCCTGAGATCCCCTAGAGGGACTGTTTGATATAAATGATGCAGGTGAAGTGAGTCCCCAAATTGGGGCTTAGTCCAGGAGGGTTCTTGGCTTCACCCAGGAAATAACCCACTGGGGAGATTGTGGTGAAATAAATCAGTTTGCAACCTTATTGAAGCGGCAGCATATAGCAGCAGCAGAGAAGAGGCTCCTTGCTGAGCAGGGATACCCCTTAAGCCCCATGCCCGAGCCCAGAGTAGCAGCATATGGGCTGTTGACAGCTGTATTTATACCCTCTTTTATTTACATGCAAATTAAAAGGTGGTGTATTTAGAACTTTCCAGAAAAGGGGCAGGGAGTTTCTGGAACCATATAGGATAATTTTCAGGTCACTGCCATGGCATATTGACGTGGCATTTGTAAAGTGTCATGACACTAGTAGAAATATCATTTATATTAATAAGCAGTGAGGATGATTAGGGGTCACTTTCATCACTGTCTGCTGGGTTTGGCCAGCTTGTTCACTGTACCTTGTTTCTACCAGATCCTGCTCCAGTCAGCAAGATGACAACCCAGGCTGTGACCAGCGCTGTGAAAACAAGTCATGCTGATTTCCTACCTCATAGCCACTGTCTGCATTAACTGCAAAGTCCAGGAAATTGTGGTCAAATAGGAGGATATCCAGAGTCACTCCAGACTACACCTCTTCTTCCACTCCCTGATGGCAGGATGTCCTATAGATGTAAGCTCCATGAAGGCAGGCACTGGGAGATTCTTTGTTCACTGGTGTCTCCAGTGTTCAGGCCCTCGATGAAACATGTTGGATGAAAGTAGAGCTGGTTTTGGTTCTAGGGACACATGGCTCTCTGTCTCTGCCAGACTCAGGTCTCCCCTGATTACTCCTCCCCTCCCTGCTTCAGATCCAAGAATGACAAGTTCCTTTCTGCCCATTATCATGGAGGTGCTCAAACAAATGCCACAAGGGTGATTCTTGCTTCTTCAAGGGAGAGGTTAGTGCAAATGATCACAAAGCCTCTTTTTCCCTCTAATAATCCGGGTTTTATCATAGTAGATCTACAAGGTAACTCAGCTCTCCCGAAAGAGTCCAAGAGAATGACTATTTTCAGCTTTATTCAGAAGCCTCATGCCTGCTCTTGGATAAAAGTTTTTCTTCCTTTCTTTCCGGTGGTTTTCCAAACTCTGTGAAGCGTGGAAGAACTTTGCACAAATATAAGGCCTTTGAAGGTTCAGAGAGGGTAAGTGACATACCCAAAGTCACACAGCATAATGTAGCATGAAATAGGACCTAAACAACCAAGCATGCCTACCATTTGTGCTGAGGGCCTCCTTCTTGATTTTCTCTCAAAGGTGGTCCTGCATGTCCCTCCCCACTCAGACTTAGAAATTCTTTCTGAGTGGTGAGGAAGAGTCACCTGCTTTTGCTTATTTTTTCTTCCAAAGAATGCACAAGTCAAACCCGGGTGTCAGAGCAGACGGCAGTATCCTCAGCATGCTTTGAGTGGCAGTACACAGCTGTTAGAGGGATGAATTGATCCGGAAGATTCCTTTTGGACTGTGTTAGGCATCATCTGTTCCTTTCATCAAAAGAGGCTCCATGGATACTCTTGATGTGTGCCCCTGGCTCCGGAGCCCACACTGAGCCAGCTTCCAGGGCTTGGCAGACCTGCTTGTCTGGAGCAATGAGCTCCAGGCCTCTTGAGGCCAAGTAGAACAGTTTTGGTCCAGTCTCTCTCTAAGGTAGGCAGAAAATTCCTGTGCAGGGATCACAGTGCCAGGTCTCACCACATGCAGAAGGGCCCACATCTACACTGGAAGTGGGGAACGGCAGTGCAGGATCTGTGCTCGGGTGGCTGTTCTCCCCTGTAATGGCCAGAGCTGGGTATGCCTCACGGCCTCTTGGACTGCTGCTCACAGTATCACTGCTGCCTTCCCAGATGAGCTGTGCAAATAGATGGCAGCCATGAGTGGAATTGGACAAAAGCTTGGAAGTAGCTTCTGTCTGTCCAATTTGGGACCTGCCAAGTCTGGCATGGTGAGGGCATGGTGGAGTCAGGAGGGGCCACTATGGAATCCAGGCCAGGAAGCTGCATTCTACTGAGTCATTTACCTCTCACAAGGACCTGCCTTTCAGGAGACCTCCATCTCTAAAGACCAGGGATGGAACCTTCAAGGAGAGCTCTCCAGCTCCTGTTTAGCTCTTCGGTTCAGACCCACATGGGGAGCCACTTAATAGGATGGGGTCTCCAGCCATCCACAGCATTGGAATCCAGCCTGGCTTCTGCACTGCCTTTCATACTGCTGTCCATGACAATCTCAGCTGTCTTATAGATCGGCTGTGGAGGACATGGCATGGGCAGCCCTGGCATCTTGAGAAGGGTGTTCAATGTGGTCCCTGGCAGAATATGAGCCTGGGGCAGACAGGCTGTGGCTTTAGACCATGGACAGAAGCCCCTGCCCCGGGACATAACCCCCTGTGCCCCATGCTTGCCCACACTCACTCCTGGTCATTCATCACAGTGCTCATGGGCCCCTGTTTCAAAGGAAGTACCAGCTGCGCATGGACCTGATGAACTTTACTCAAGATTAGAGGACTGCTTAGGGGCATTCGAAATGAATTGTGGAAAGGACATTTGTGAGACCATGTGAAAGGTCAATCAGGGTTGGTACAACAGGATAAATAATGAAGCCATTACGAGGTTCTACTGAACGACTGTGGCTTTGGGAACTGAACTTCACCACTTTGGAAGCCAGAGAAAGGCACTGGAAATAGCTTGCCTTTACACAGAGGAATGTTTTCTCCTGCTTAACTGGATCCAATTAGAAAGTGATTCACTGAACATTTATTCTGTGTGAGGGTCTTACAGCAAAGACAGTGTGGCAATGCCCCCGCTTTCCAGGACTTTACAATCCTAGCTGGGAGTGGGGTGAGGTGGGGGTTGGGTAAGTTAAACACTGTGATCAGAACACCATGAGGTGGATGCAGCCAGCTCCCTGTGAACACAGACGACGTGGCAGGGCTGGGTCTAGATGCCGGGAATAGGTCCACCTGGTTTACTAGACTTGAGCTAGACTCATGTGTGCAATTAGAGGAATTCATCTATTCACCAAATATGCATATCACTTCAATTATTAAAGACTACCATGTCCTACTTTCAGTCCCCCAGAAATAGACCCTGCAATTCCAGTGCCAGTAGTTCATGTCGGAGGTGATCCCTGGAGACACTGCAGTTGAGTGGGAAGGAGACAGGCAGGAAGGGAGACAGGCAGGGAAGGTAGCTCACAACAGGCTCCTTATCCAGCGAGTCACATGTATGGCAGCCAGGTCTCATCATGTATAGAAGAGCTCTCAAAGCCATCCCCACCCAGGGGCAAGGAAGCCAGGTGTTCATCCCCCACCTCCCTCTGTCATTGGCTGAGGGCTGCATTTGAATCATTAACCTCACAGGGATTCTGCTAGGAAAAAATAAAGCCCTTAGGCAGAGGGTCACCCATGTTCACCACAAACAGCTTTTTCTATGTAGATGCAATGGACTGAATGTTTATGCCCCCCCCAAAATTCATATGTTGAAACCTAGTCTCCAAGATGATGGTATTAGGGGTATTAGGACATGGGGCCTTTGCAAGGTGATTAGGTCATGAGGGTGGAGCCCTCAGAAATGGGATTAGTGTGTTTATAAAAGAAACCTCAGGGAGCTCTCTTGCCCCTCCCACAAGTGAGGATACAGCCAGAAGGGAGCTGTCTATGAAGCAGGAACCCTCTCCAGACACCTAACCTGTCAGCGCCTTGACCTTGGACTTCCCAGCCTCCAGAAGCATGAGAAGTAAATCTCTGTTGTTTATTAGCCACTCAGTGTGTGAAATTCAGTTATAGCAGCCCCAAGCAGACTGCCAATAGAGTTCAATGCTGCTAAGAGGATAAGAAAGGGCACTAACAGCATCAAAGACAATAATAAATAAGGATAGGCCCCTACCTGTGGATGGAATCCAGGCTTATAGTAGATGACACTCTTACACTTTACCCTCCTGACCAACCTGTAAGAAAGACTGAGCAAGCATCAGAGCTTAGTAGTTGTCAGGAGTGGCAGAAAAGGCTAAACAAATCCCAGCCCCACCATTACACAGTCACCAAAGAGGGAAGGCTGTGAATCAGGGGAAATTTCCTTCTTTCAGCCCTCCTTTTCTTTCCACCCAGGGCAATGGTGCCCTCCCTCAAATTTCCACCGGCTACACCTTCTCCTGAGCACTCTCCAGCCTTACTTCTGACCAAGATTGATCTATGGGGTCTCCTAATGCCCTTACCCACACTCTGCACCACACAGCCACGCCCTTGTCAAGGGCTGCCCTGCTGAACAGGCTGTTGCAGCTTCTCCCAACCTGAGCATTGCCACCTTCGTAACAGGAATGTTTATCCTTCTCTCTCACCCTCCATGTGTCTGGTATGCTATAGCACATGCTTAATAGACATCTGACTAATGTGAAGTAGTCCAATACGAGACTCTCCTAAAGACAAACTGGTTATGCTCTTCCACTCATACTTCACCCTCCCCCCACCCTGCCCCCAGTCGTCCCTGAGAGCTGTATTACTCGGACATTTCCGTAATGGGAAGAGAGAGAAGTGCCCAAGTCTGGGAGCTGTCTGGCCAATCAATGAATGATCAAGTTTATATTGAATGCCTATTGCATGTCTAGCTCTGAGGTTAGGTGCTGCAGGGGATACAGATATATAAGACATGTGTGGCATCCGTGGGGAGTCTACAGTTTTATTGCAGCACTAAACTCAAACCTAAAAATCAATTACCTTAGACGTAACACTGGACTGAGCGGCAGTAAAGATAGTGGCTAAAGGCTCATAAAAAAAGGCAGCAAGTCTGGGTTCAGATTCTGGCCAACTTAGATCCTAGCTGAATGTAGCTTTAACTAGGTATCCAAGAGAGGCTGTGCCTTCCTTTCTTTCACCTGGAAATATTAACAGTACATCACGATGGGGGGGTGGCACTCAGTAGTCATTCCATGAAGTGTGTTAGTGTTATTAACTAATACTAGTATTATCTAGTATCTAGTCCCAGTCATTGCTGACTTGAAGTGTTATGGAAGTTTGGAGAAGTGACTCATCAGAAAGGGCTGGTTTCCTTACAGAAAGAGTAACAGATGGAGTGGGTGTTAGGTTGGTCCTTGAAAGAGTTTTGGAAATGGGAGAGAAGAGAAAGAACATTCCAAGCTGGAGAACAGCCGGATGGGAAGCCTGATGGCTAAGGCAGGCCGTGTGTACAACCTCGAGGCACCCAGACCCACTGGAGTCCAGGTGATGAGAGGAGAGTCCTGGCACAGGTCCTGAAGACCTGCTATTTAAACAGCAGAGTTTCCTTATCCCCAATGAAGGCCGTGCCACAGGGGTGTGGCTCATCTTGTCAGTGCCCTGCTGCTCAAACCCCTAGCGGAAGCAGGTGCACTGGCAGGTCATGGGGAGTGTTTTTGGCCTCTGACCCCAAGGCAGCATGTAGGGTTGAGTGTTTACAGCTCCTGAAGCCCCACTGGGTGTGTGACACAGTGTGCTCTTTCAGTTTTGCCATCTGCAGGCAGCTTGTTAATCAACTCAATTAGACCCTCTGCCTTATCGCAAGGACAGAGGGCTTTCTGTATCACGAGTACTTGCCTTAGTGTACTGGAAAAATGATATCACATGTGGGCTTCAGGATGAGTGCAAGGTTTATTGAAGGGAGGTAGCTCTCAGCAAGGTGGGTAAGGAGGCCACAAGGAGAATGGAGTGGGAAGATAGTCTTCCCCTGGAGTCCGCCACCCAGTGATCAGACTCCTCTGGCCAAATTCTCCACCTCGGCGACTGCATCATTCTTGTTCTACCCTTGATGGCCTGCCAGTGTCTGCCAGTGGGTTCTTCTGCTGGTGTGTCCCTCCTGACATCCAGCTGCTTCTCTGTGTGCCTGCTAGGGTGTCTGGGTGTTTGTTTATAGGCACAGGATAGGGGCCGTGGCAGGCTAGAGTGGTCTAGGAAAATGCAACATTTGGGCACGACAGCAGGAGTGGTTTTCCTCACTTAGGTCCGTGGGCACAGGCCTGAGGGTGGGGCCTTCACCAGGGACCCCGCCCTTCTTCCTGCACTTCCCTGTCCCCCTCCTATATCACTATCACTGGGAAGGAGGGAGTCCATTTTCCCTGGGAAAAGGTGTTAGGTCCTTTGCAGCATGATAACTGAGTGGTTTTGAGAAGATCACTTTTATAGGGGTGCAGGATGGATCTAAGTGTGAGGACCTGGGAACAAGGAGACCATACACAGGCTGTGGGGAGGCAGCCCTCCCTGCCTGGCCAGGTCAGGTGGAAAGGGAAGCAGTAGCTCCCTGCAAGATATCAACCACTTTCCTCTCCTTTTCTTCCTAACTTTGGCTTCTGCATAGTGTTTAGGAAAACCCAATTGACTTCTCTCCCCCATCACCCTCCTAGGGTCCAGGTCCAGATACACAATGGAAGCAAACATATTTCTCTTTCTTCTCCTTCTGCGCTCCAAAGACACGCTGACACTGGTAAATCATTGTAGCAGGCTTTAAATGATGTATGAAATGAAGAATCCCTTCCCTGTGTATTGGGAGTCTCCTGCCCAGCAATGGGCTGTGTCTACTGGGCTGGCTACTGTATTATTTAGTGCAGAGGAGGCAGCCAGAAACTCCGTGGAGGTGAGAAGCTTGGGATCACAAAGAAAAACAAAGTTAAAATTAAAAAATGAAAGTAAAACTATGTTCTGAAACATATACAAGTCTTTTTCCCTGGCTCTCACCTTTAAAAAAAAAAATTCTGCTGAAGTTTTTTGGAAAGGAAAACTTATTTTCTGTACTTCTTTGTGCATTTTTCTCCCACCCAAGTCCCTGCTGTCATTCCTTAACTTCATGAATAGACAGAAACAGAGACTTTGTCAATCCCTTCAGGGTCGTATACGATTGGTCATGTTTCTGCACGTTTCTCGAAGACCATGTTCAGTTGAGCCTCTTCCTTGTGGGTGTTCAGGACGCCTATTGCTGAATCCAGTGTGCAGGACCTCCATGAGGGACTTGCCCACCTGAACTCCTCACCCCACGGGATTCTGCTGTGGTGGCCCTGCAGGGTGTGCAGGCACTGGGGCATTACTGCTTCGATAACCTGAGTCTGCTTTAAGAAGCCTACCTGACTTACACCACAGTATCTGCTGATCCCAGACTAAACACATCAATGACCCGCCCAGCAAACTCTATTGGTACAGAAAGCAGCAGGCAGCCTGGACTCAGGGCAGCTGCCTCTTGCACATCAAACTGAGCTACAAATAGACTGAGAGCCTTCTTAGTCTGCAGGGAGGGTAAGCTTGGTCAATTTGCTTTTAGCCGATGAAATAATCATTGACGTTTAGACAGACTTCTAATCTTGGCTCGGAACAGTCAAGAGGCATTTTAGCTACAGATGGTAAATGGGCTCATACAGGGATATATTTAGCAATGTGGCCTGGGGACAGAAGAGAAAGAGGCCTTGGAATCCAGGAAACTGGTCCAGCTGGAGGCACCTTGGTGCCTAGAGGTGAGTCACATAATTCCCTGATCCTTATCACAAGTGCCCCAACTATGGGTGGGTTCATGCACAGGTGCTTGCAGGGAGGGGCGAGGAGGAGTTTTCTGCTTGATCTGGCATTGGAACCATGAACAGGACATGTACTCTATTCACACCTAAGGCCAGTTGGAAAACAGGCAGGTGAGCAGAAGATAGTGGATGTGCTGCGTGGGAAGGACGGCGTGGAATATGCGAGATGGAGATGGGGGATCCAAAGGAGCTCACGTGGTCTGGATTTGAATACTAGCTCCGTCAGCTTTAGAGGCATGCACTCAAGGCTATTTATTTCCCCTCTATTCCTCAGTTTTCTCATCTGTAAACAAGGATAATTCTATACCAAATGCATGGGTTTATAGTGAGAGAAAAATACGTGTGAAGCACATAGTGCAATTCAGTGTAGGTTACTACTTAGGGAAAAAGATGAAGCAGTTCATGCTTAATTCAGACTGGAGTCTATGAAATGGAGTCTACCCAAGACCAGTTCAAACACATAGCTCGAGTCTTATATTTGCTGCTAAAAGGAGTGGGGCAAGGCACCTTCCCAGGAAATAAGAATTCCAGAACTGTGCCACTGCCCACACCTCTGCAGTGTGACTGTCACGGGTCACCATGGCCAGGTAGACATACTACAAACCATGCAGCCCTCCTGGTCCCACACCAGGCTTTCTCAAGTTTCACAGAGGAAAGAGGAGGGGAGATGCTCCTTTATCAGCACCCTTGGAATTATTTTGGAAGCCACCGTCCCCTCATGTAAGAGGCAGAGATTCTGGGATGGACTGAGGTGATGGATTTGAACTTCAGCACTCAAAGTTCCTTGTGAGGTTCAGTTTCCTTATCCCTAAAATGAGAATAGTAACTCTACCCTCTCACCACTTCACATGAAAAATAGACAAGGAAGGGCTTTTATAAATTTCATCATGCTCTACACTTTGCAGTATAAATTGTCTGGTCAGACGCTCTCTTCAGCCAACTGTTCAACTTTTTTTTTTTTTTTTTTAAGATGAAGTCTCACTCTTGTCACCCAGGCTGAAGTGCAGTGACTTGATCTCAGCTCACTGCAACCTCTGCCTCCCCAGTTCAAGTGATTCTCCTGCCTCAGCCTCCCAATTAGTTGGGATTACAGTTACCTGCCACCATGCCTGGCTACTTTTTGTATTTTTAGTAGAGACGGAGTTTCACCATGTTGGCCAGGCTGGTCTCGAACTCCTGACCTCAGGCGATCCACCCACTTCGAACTTGCAAAGTGCTAGGATTACAGGTGTGAGCCACCACGCCCGCCCAAGTGTTCATCTTTTAGGAGGATGCCCAGCAGGGGAGGGGGGGAGGAAACAAGTACCCACTTCCCCACCTGTGTCATCTAAACCAACCTGGTTAGCACTGGGTTAACACATGGTGTAGCTAGGTAACAGGAGTTCCCACATAACTTGCTCTTGGTCCCCTGGTTCTAGGAAAGCTTTGGCAGCCAGGCAAGACCTGTAGCCTACCTGTTGTGTGAGCTTGGCAATGGGAGGGAGGCAGAGCAACTACTTGGGGTCCCCCAGAAACCTGTAAAATCCCCCCTGAAAACCCAACTTCAAGTGACTAAAGATCTGAGCTTCACTGATTCCATTCCTCTGTCTCCCACTACTACACTGCTACACACATGCACACGTACACACATGCACTCAAACACACACTCACACCCATGCATCCACGCATATCTCCCCACACACTCACGCTTCTGGAGCCCCACTCGGCCTGCGCTGTCTTTTCCTGGGCAGCCGGGAAGAGGGGGCTGGAATCCTAGCACAGAACAGCAACTGAGCAATCCTCCCGTCTTTCCCCGCAGGAGCACATTCCAAACCAGCAGCCCAGGTGCTGCAGAAACACCTTAGTGCTGTGTTCCACACCTTTCATGTGGGGGAAGCAGGCAGCAAGTCACCAACAGCCAGTCATCAGCAGGAGGTGATGACAGCCCTTCAGACAGGAAGCAGAGAACAGGGAAGGGTGGGCCAGTCCCTAACCATCACACTTCCTAAGCCTTGAATTAACACCTTGTCACTCACAGCTCTGGTATCCCAGTACTGGCTGTCACGACCACGGAGCAGGTGTGATGCTCAGGCCCTCTGTGGTCAGAAAGCCACAGCGAGAAACTGCCAGCAAAGCTCCCATTCTGTCTGCCTCTCAAATGCCTGACAATGCAGACCAGGCCTCAAGGGTCTACACTGTCAAATGCATCACTCTCTGGCAGATTGATTTCTCTGTGGCTGTTGTCTCTCAGTATCATAGAATTCCAGAACTGGAAGGGACCCATGGTGTTATAGACAGGATAATGAGGCCTGATGAAGTTAGGGTGGATGGCGGGAGTAGTCAATAGTGGCTGGGGAAGCCAGCTGCCCTGCCTCCTGGTGCAACACTCGTTCTGTCGATGCAGCATGGAGAGCAGTGAACCTCTTCATTCATCAAGGCTGCTCACTGCCCAGAAGGGACAGGCGCTAGAGTTCCCATACCAAGCCTGCTGCCCATGTGCCCATGAATGTTAAATTAGCATACCTGGTATCTGCTTAGACGGATTCAGATTTACCCAGCGGAGAAAAAGCAGCTCCCAGGAGGAATAGAGTTTTTGTCAATACCCACAGCAGAGGGCTGGCTTCATTTCCAGTAAGAGTGAAGCTGGGAAAATTACTCATTACAATTTTATTGATATTCACTTCGCTCTGCAAATGACGTGGGATGGTTCTGACAGGATGTCTTAATGGCACTGGCTGAGAATCCATTTGGGTGGATGTGGGTTAATGGGGCTGAAGAGACTAAAGGGTTCAACTGCGTCAGCCCTATTACCCAAGCATCTCCTCTATAATCAGGAGCAAAACAACATGTGTAGAGTGCCCAGCATGATGTGAGGGAAAGAGCTCGGCTCAGGAAACTCTCCAGTGTCTTTCCCATTTCCTCCCTCTATCACCTGGACAGCATGGAACCTCCTTCACTCAGCTATGGCTTCATTCCTCAGGGCTGCTCACTGCTCACTGCCAAGAAGGGCAGGGCTGGAGAGGTCCTTTTCCATGTCCAGGTGCCTACGAGCCATGCCCATGTGCACTCAACTAGTCTGATGGTAAAGGTGGTAAAGGTTTAGAGACAGTTGCCTGGGGGCTCATCTTCTACAGAAAGATTTTGTATCACATAGTACAGTCCATGTGCCCCTAGACATCCCTGGCAGGCTTTTGGACTTAAACACCCCATGGCTATCCCTAGGGAAGCAGTCAGTCCACACTCCACTTCAGATCCAGGTCGGTAGTGAATCCAAAACAGCTAAATGTGGATTTTTTGGACTGCCAGATAAAATGTTAAGATACCAGCATACGTTTGCATAGCTCTCTGTAATTTACAAAGGGCTTTCACATATATCATTTCATTTGATTCTCACTGATATTCTGTGAAATAAGTAGGGACAGAGACTTTTGTGAATTTCCTATATTGGCCGTTTGCCAGTTGGTACGCTCAGATCCATTCCCTGACTCTTCCCTACAAAGTCCACCTCCCAGACTTCCTGGCCAACTGGCTACCACGTAGTCTCAGCCAACGGAAGGCACCGTCAAGGGGTTAGAGAGTAGAGGACGGGAGACGTAGGGTACTGCATCCCTCTATCTCTGCCCCGTGTGGTTTCTAAGATAGTAGTTAAGTCTTCTGGGTTGTCCCAGTTTCCACTGGGTGGTCTCGATTCCTGAGTTCAGGAAATACCACCACCTTCCTTTGTGCCTCTAGCCCAGGATTGGCTGCCTACTGTTACTAAACTCTGGGCTGCCTCACTCTCCCTTGCAGTCACCTGCATAAGTGCTGTTTTTCTGCCTGCAGCCTAAATGATACATTCCCAGAGATGATGAAACCAAGCCTTCAAAGAGGTAAATTAATTTGCCCAGGGCAATGCAGCAATCGAGAACTGCATCCTTATTACAAAACAAGTTTTCAAACTTCCAGAGCTCTGCCCTTTTCCTTACTCATGTGAGAGCAGACAAAACCAGTACACAAATTAATATAAATCCAGAGAACCCAGAGAGAAAAGCCACACACATAGAGCAGGAGAGCACAAAGGAGGGAGAACTTGTTTGCCCCTGGGAGCACCAGGAAAAGCTTTGTAGAGGAGGTAGCACATACCTAAAGCGGTACGAAGGAGGTAGAATTTCTGAAACTGTGAGAAGAATGAAGTATATGATCACTAAACTTTCAACAGGTCCATGGGTGCTGTCCTGTGTTTGTACCTCTGCCCCCTCCTTGGAGATTCCAAGAGTCTCAGCCTCTCTCCTTTGGACCAGGACAGGAGCCTCCTCACTGGCCTGCTGTCCATTCTCTACCTTGCAGTTGGGGGGTGGGTGAAGTCTCTCAAACGCACAGCCTCCCAAGCTATTCTTCTGTCTAGAAACCTTCAACAACTCAGGTTGTTTATAAGGTAGATCCCAACTCTTGAGCTCTGCATCCAAGGTCTTTAGTTGCCTTGCCCCTCTACCTCCACAGAGCCATCACTAATGCACTTGCCTTCCTTTGCTCAAAGTCTTCCCTCTGCCTGGAATGCTCTTCCTCCCTTCCTCATCCAGCAAATTCCGTTCTAACACCTGAGGCTCTTAAATATCACTGCTATAACTTTCCCAGCTCTTCTGCTTGAAACATAAATAAAGGCAACCTTCTCTGTGCTCCCAGTCCCATTGCCCATGCTTTTATTAAATTTAATCAGATAGGCATGTCATTACACATTTATGTGTCAACTCCTACCCTCTGGGAGCTCACAGCTTGGTGTTGGAGAACTTGTCTTTCGTATTCCCAGCACCAAGCACCAGCAACTGGCACATTGCAAATGCTCATTACCTGTTTGTTATATTGAAATTAATTCCAGTATCACCCCCCGTCTTTCTCTCTTTATCCTGCTTACTCCCTTCCTGAATTCCTGCTACTTAAGCAATTGGTCAAAAATTCTCTGTCCCCTTTCAGATTATGCTTCTCATACAACAGTATGTTGTCAGAGTTAATTACAGCTCTAAAGGTAAATCAGAGCAGGAAAGAACTAAATTATGAAGAAAATTCCAAAAAGAAAAGATTGGCTTTCAACTGAGATAGGTAGAGATAAAAAGGAGGGTGAGGTAGTAAGGAGTGATATGTTGGCATGGCCAAAAACAGAAATAGCAAGACTCAGGTTAAGGTTGGTGCTACAACAAGCAACCCAGCTGCTTCCTGGACTCTTGGTTCATCCTCCTTCCTCTCTTCAAACTTGGTTCATTTGGAGGTCACTTCCTCTTCCAATAAGTTGGAATGCACTTGGGGCAGAAACTTTTTTCCACAACTATGTTCCTTCCCCAATTGAGTTGTAGTTTTACCTTTAATGTCAGTTTAATTTATGTATGTTTTTTCAGTTATAAGCCTTTTCCATGAGTGTTTATGTGTGTGGTTTCTCTCATTAGATTAGGAATGAGCTTTTGCAGCTCAGATATACTTTGGGGGTCCCCTCTTCCCCCTCCTCTTAGCCTGGCTTCCTCCCGTCCTTTGAGGTTGCTATCCATTGTCCTGTCCAGTTGTCTCTTTGTTTATAGAATGGCTTGTGTAGCACCATGATTAAAAATGTGGCCCCTGGAACCAGATTGCTTTGGCTCCAATCCAAGCTCTGCTAAATGTTGCTCAGTGACCTTGAATAAGTTGCCATGTGTCAGTTTCCTGCTCAGTAGAAATGGGAATAATGACAGAAGCTCCCTCCTGGGCTTGTGGTGAGGATTAAATAAGCTTACATATTCATATTTGCTTTTATTATCATTACTACTTTTCACCCACAGATAGCCTGTGTTCCTCTCCTCTTCCCATCCTTAGAACCAAGGACAGGGCTCATTTCTCTTTGGGATATTATGAAGTCTCCTTTATAAGGCTCTACTGCAAGGTCGCTCAGCAAAGGTCAACAGTTATCCTTGCAGAACTTCTTTAAGAGAGTGTTTGTGTCTTAGCAGCACATGACGTCAGTTTGTGGGA